GTACCAAAGCTTCAGATTTACAGCCGGAGACAAAACTGCGATATTTGTCAAAGAAAGGTCAAATAGTGACGAAATCCGCGTTCCATTGATGAGGAGAAACATTGTTCTGCCAGGAGGATCATTTCCTGATTCTATCCAGCCAGCAGCTGGTTTAAGTCGTCAACGACGAGAATACCTGTACCGGCACGTTAGGAAATACGTGCGTCCTGCGAACCAAGATGAGACTTGTCCTCGTCTTGCTGAGGAATGAACGTTGTGATATTAAAATTAAGTTAATCTGAACTGAAAAAGGAACAGTTGATTGTTTTGTTTCAGCGTGCATTATAACAAACAATAAAATAGTATTTGTTTAAAACACACATTTTTCTCTTTAACTGTAGCCCGTTGTCACTATTTATTACTAAGACTCGTTGGAATTACGTTTGACGTCACGCAAATTTGATGATGATGTCGCAAATTTTTAGTTAAGGTGTGTTTAGTTAAATCGCTGTATCTTACTTAAAAATTCGAATATCGACATAAAATAAAAAGATTTACACAGACAAATAAAATTTCTACAAGATTATAATAAAAAATAAAAATCGTCAAAAATTGCCCGAGTGCCCCTTTTCTCGTGGCGGCGGCCATTTAATGTAAAGGTTAGATAATTTTTATTCATTCATCCGACTGACACTCATATTAATTATGGCAATTATAGATAAACTCATAATGATTTAAAAAAAAGAAGAGAGAGAAAATGATGATATCAACATTTACAACAATTAAAATATAAAGATAATAAAATATAAAGTGATCATTTTTCATTATGTTTCTAACTGTAAACTTAGAAAGTAAATTTTACAATTGTTTTTGAAAGATTGTAAAGTCGAACATTGTTTGATAGTAATTTATTCCAAACGTAACTGATATAAGAAAAAGAATCCTTTAGATAATTTGTATGAGGTATACTTTTCAGTACAAGATCTTAATGAGCGATTGAGCGTAAATTATGTAATTCATTGTGAGAGAAACTAAAAATTTCACTCATATATAACGGTGCCAGATTTTTTAAAGATTTATACACCATAATTGCTGTGAAGTATTTCACTCTGAAATTGAATTTCAGCCATTCAAGTTTATTAAAAAGATCTAATGTTGGTGAACGTATCGATCTATTAAGTATAATTTTTGCAGCTCTTTTTTTAATTGAGTTTACTTTATTGATGTATGAGTATGTGCCGTACAACAATAATCAAGCACTGGAAGGATGTACGTGTTGTAATATATCTTGATATGTTTTAAGAGGGCAATTTTTGTATTTAGTTTTTTTGCAAACATAGTCTATTTGATAATGCCGGTTTAATGTACAAACATGTATTATTTACACAACTGCCCGATAACTTTTGAACTGTAACATTTTCAAGAGTTGTATCATTTACTTTCAGTAGGAGAGGATTACATTTCTTCACCTTTTTTGAATATCCAATTATCATGCATTTTGTTTTTATTGGGTTCAAAGACATATTATTAAGGATACACCAATCATTTATAATATAATTTAAATCTTTTTGTAAATTATCTTGTATTTCCAGTAAACAGTCACCGGATTGGTAAAGTGTAGAGTCATCCGCATACAAGTTTATATTAAGATCATTACGGAGTATAGATTATATATATATATATATATCATTTATATAAATCAAAAATAGTAAGGACCCAAGAATGGATCCTTGGGGAACTCCTGATTTTACTTGTAAAATGTCAGATTTTAGAATACCTATTTGAACTGTCTGTTTTTTGTTTGATAAATAAGAACGAAAAAAGTTACAGCTTTTTCAGAAAAATGATATAATTTCAATTTGTGTATCAAAATGTCATGATCGACAAAATCAAACGCTTTTCTTAAATCAAGGAAAATAGCACCTATCATTTTACCATTATCAATATCTTTGATCCTGGCATCAATTAATCTAAGTAATGATGTATTACAAGAATGTTATTTTCGAAACCCTGATTGTCTGTCATGTATAATTTCTGTATTTTGAAAAAATGTCTGAAGATGTGACGCAAAATGTCGTTCAAATATTTTTGAGATGGTGGGTAGAATTGAAATTGGGCGATAATTTTCAGAAAAGTCTCTACTTGCTGATTTAAACACAGGCAGGACACGAGCTTCCTTAAGTTTATCGGGAAAAATACCTTAATGAATGCTATTATTTATAATAGATGTTATGCAACGAATAATAGTATCCCCAGAACTTTTTTAAAATTGCGGGACCAATACCATCAAGGCCTGCAAATTTATTTGTGTTCAATTTTGAAATAATTAGCTTTACTTCCATGGTCGTTATATAAGGAATATCAAACTTGACTTTCGGAAAAGGATGAAAAATGTTCGCATCAAGAACACAAATGTTTCACATTTATTAAAGTCTTTTCATTAGTTTTAGCTTATAATAGACAAATATTGCAAATGGTTTGGCATACATAGATGAAACATTCAAAAATTCCGTGATGTATCCAAACTCTCTAGACAAAATCATTTTTAGTAAAAAAATCTTCGCATTTCTGAACTTACTTCTTGCACTTTTTAGAAGATTGTGTAAGAATGATACGGTACTGCGCGCAGAATGATAAATTGTCGACGGTACGCGGAAAAATGATGCGTAAACCCTTGACACCGTAAAGTATCAAAATGTGAAAAAAACGAGCATGTCGACACAAAAATTAATACAGGGAGGATAACTCAAGCACAAGTTACCGCCTTCCTTAAATTCAGTTACATGCGTAAGTTACGTGCCGTGTAAATTAGTTAAGTAACTAAAATTCAAAAGTAAAAAAGAAATACTGTTTTAGAAATATGAGCTTTAGCTTGCATTTTTTTGGTGTTTTTCGGTATTTTTCGGCGATTCCATGCACCCATTAGTATAAACAGATTAAAATAATTCCTATTTTCTGAACAAAATTTAATATATTTATTTCTTAATGCTTACACTGATTTACAGTTAGTTTTAAATGATAGTTTCTTATCGTCGAATATGGCCACAGATGCCTATATTTACCTTCTGCTCTGCCTTAATCCCAAGTCCGACAATTAGTTATGGGTCGAATGGCCGGGTGGCCGAATCTTTATTTTTACCCGTACTGAATATCAGGCAATATACGCAGAATTTCAAAACATATTTCTTTTCAAAAATCTAAGGCATACAAAAGTGAAAGGAAAATCATGTGTAAAAAAGCTTACGAAATTTCTTTTTTTCGAAGCCACGATAATTGCAAAACATTTTCCGGTATACGCAGGTAAAATTTGTTACGGAGCTCCATACTCATTTTGTAAAACATTTTAGGCCAATTTTATTGCATAAATGTAAATCAGGAATTTTATTTGATAAATTATCTATCTGAGATGTTTCGTCCCATTTATATTATTCTAAAGACTTTACTATAGTTACGATGTATGCATTCATGCTAGCTAGCGCATGCGTATATGCGAAGTTTAACGCGTAGGTATAAACGACGATTTTATCAATGAACTGTTATTTTTTGTTTTCTTTAAAGGAATGTTGAGTCTATTATTTCATGAATTTGAATGATTTGGAGCTTTCAAAGCATTAAAACAACTTTGCAAACAATATTTTAATGATGTGATGTCGGATCATAATAATACTGCAGAATGAAGAACTAACAACAACAGCATTTCAAAGTATGCAGTATACTGCGCAAAAAGAAGCGGGCCAAAGTTCTGCATGATGATGCACCACAAATATCAAAGTTTTCATGATTGCCAAACATTTTTTTTTGTATTATTTTTATCAAATTGGTATGCGATCAGCTCGTGTCAATGTTTTTGTGATCATTTGACATATGATACTTCTTCAGACAACTTTGCATTCAGAAATGGGTGAAATATGTTTGTATCCAGAACACAAATGTTTCACATGTATAAAAGTGTTTTCATTAGAGTTTCAAGTTATAATATAGAAATATTTTTGCAAAATGTTGTGCACACATAGATGAAACATTCATAACTTCCGTGATGTATGCAAACTCTCTAAATAAAATCAATTTTAGTTAGAATTTATCGCATTTCTGAACTTACCTAGCAAAAAATTGCGTAAGAATGATACGGTGCTGCACGCAGAGTGGTGAATTACGACGGTACGCGGAAAAATGATGCGTAAACCCTTATATATATATATATATATATATATATATATATATATATATATATATATATATATATATATATATATATATATAAAACAAAAAAACACAGTCCATGAGTTAACTTATTTTAATTATTTGCCAACCGGTTTCTCTTATGATCATCAGGGCAAATGTGACATATATATATATGAACCCTTAAATATCCTTTTCAAATAAAAATCACATTTCAACGGCTATAATATACATACAATTATTCAATCGTCTTGCATTTTATGCATTTCCAACATTTTCAATTAATACGCAGTGCATTTTTCCTCACGGTCATTAACAACTTCAATATAAACAACACAATATGCGAAATAAACAGCAAAACTATCACCATTTTACTCCATTTACAAAATATTTCGGAAAGTTTTACCGTGACTGTCTTCTAGTTGATATACTTTGAACGTGAGAACCAGCATGGTTATAGTCGAAACCATTCAGTTATATGTTCGTTCTCACGTTCATGTGGTGACGCATTTGAATACTACAAAGCCGATTCGAAACAAATAAGTAAATTAAGACCCCTGTGAAATAAACGTTTTAACTTTGTTTGAATCTCAGTTTAACATAAAAATGCGCATGCTATTTCTAAATTTTATAATGAGTTGTTTCTTTTCTTCGTTTCTTGATGTTGCTGGTGTTCTAATTAATGAGTACTTACGACAATTTACTTGATTTGATTTATTTATACAATATATAGATATTACCACGACACGTTTTTTGTTCATACTAAATAAATAAATGAAATTATATAACTTTTATTAACAATTATCATTATGAAAATTAAAAAGAAATAATTCTGATTTCAGTGTTTTCTTCCCTTGTTAAAACATACGTTACCACGTTCAATACCGGAGGGATACCATGTATAGGCAGTGCAATGGCGATCATGGCAAGAAATGAGAACAGAGTTGTTCTTGAAAATGTAATGAAAACATTTCAGTCGAGAATACTTTCAATTGAACTTCCAGTATATGAGCAGAAAAACTTCCTGGAATTATTCACAGGGGAGAGAAGAAGGGCTGCTCAAGAATTTCGATCAAAATGCGTCTTAAAGATTGAAGAAGACTTGTACGACGAAATTGAGGTATTTTTAGTTTTTATCTTGACAGTTTTTTCATTTCATACAATTTTTATTTATGCTATTTGAAACTGTATATAAAAGGCAACATAAAATTGTAAAAGGAACAATTCAATACATATTTTTCACACATAAATCTAATACGTGTAAGAAAAATATTTCATTTACAACGAGTTAGTGTCACTTTATCAAAAGGCAAGATATGAACTTTAAAGGTCAGTGGCCACCATTATTCACGTGCCATTTTTAATATTTGTTCATGTAGTACAAACTTAAGTTACGCATTAAATTATCGGTAATTGCATTAGTTTTATTCCTACAAAGTCCGGTATTACACAGATGTAAAAGTTGCTGCATTTTATGCAGGTTCGACTTTAAACCAGATTTGACGTAAAAACATATATGTATATCCCTTTGTAAAATATTCATAATTCATGATAACGATGTTTTGCTGTATTTCTCATTTACGTACATATTATGGATGAACTTAACAAAAAGATTTTCGATGCAGTTCAACATTATATTCTTGAGCCACAGCCACCATTACAATTACTTTTTAGGTCCAAAAACGATGTTGAGTTCTTCGACATAGCCCTTGTGCAATGTATGAAGCGAATTAATTTAATGAAAAAATAAACACTTTTTACATTTTTATATCCAACATAAAATATCACTTTTTCTAACATAAATATATCTTTTTAAACAAAAACTAACAAATTCCTTAGATTTATCCAATATACCACATGTTTTATAGAAGTCACTGCGGTCATTTTTGTCCTTATTACGTATGTAAGTCCTCGTACACCCAGTTTTCATATGATAATGCCTTTAAGGTCTATGGCCAAGAAAAGGCATATTTTTCTGTTTTCAATAGATTTTGATACGTAGATTACAATAAACACGATAAAAAAGTGTTATAAAATCTCCTTATATGAAACAAAATTGATTCTGTCGAGTTTTTTTTTTTTGAAACGCGATCGGTAATTTCACCTTTTCACTGATGACGTAGGCTTGGCTTGGTTCAAAGATATAACATTGTTCATAGAACTTTATCGTATGGACTGCAAGGTATTCTTAATTCATTTGTTATCTACCAGCATATGAATCAATATATTTCAATAATTTCTCTCAAATATATATTTCATTTGTACAGAAAAATATGGACAAACTATGGAAGGAACATTATGACAAAAACATCCAAATCCAAAAGCTTATGTGTATCACCGCAATGGAAGAAATGTATCAATCAGAAATTAAACCAAGATTGACCGTCGGACACTATGAGGATGAAGATGGGTATCTCCACTATAAAAAGGATGTAAATAACCTAAAATCAAAGATTAAAAAAAGGTTTCCTGAAATGGATGATACTTTGGTAACTTTTCTTTGATCTTTCAATTTACCTGGTTACATTAGATGCTGTTTTATATTGAATGCCAATACTGTAACAATTTGTAGCATTTAAGGACTTTAAAATAGATTAAATGACATTTAAACATAAAAATGATGACATTTGAATTTAGAAACATTCGCAGATGTGTTAACACGTCGGTTATCATGGAACCTTCAATGTGACACTTTTGTGACATTCTATGAAATACGCGTATGCTCCCCAAGTAAAAGAAAGCGTGCGCCCTAAACAAGAAAACAATGGGCGGAACAAATCAATATGGAATTTGCTAGGGGATTAGATGTAATGAAGCCTGCATATCACAGATAAGACGTGAAAAGTCAAATGTAAAAAGCAGGCAACATATCCGAAGGGTGTTTAACATTATTCAAGACCACCCAACCAAAAAAAAAATGCCGAAAAGGGAAACCTAAAAGTACCACAAACACAACAACAATGTCGTGCAGGATCGGAAATACAGCATTTCTGATTGAATGTACGGGCGACGTTTTACGGCCTCCACACGACACAAACAACGCTGATGTGGCGATAATATAGATCGATAAAATAGAGAAAATAAGAATCCCTAAAGAAAGTCCAAAACAACAAAAGTTTCTAAATAAACACACATTCACAGAAATAGATGAGTCCATTAATTATCTAAATAGTTTAGTGATATTGTTTAACATAAGATGAATTGTTAGTCCATTTTCTATATCCCCGATATCGAAACACCGTCTAACAATTAAGCCATCTTTGCTTCACCTGGCCAAAAAGGAAGCGACTGTCGGTATGTGTATGAGCAAAATTTATTTGAATGTGTTAAAGTTCTCTAATTGTAGATAATCTTTGAAAATAACTTGCTAATTCAATTAATCAATTCAGTTATTATTATTATTGTTAATAATAATAAAAATGATAATAATAGAACCTCTATTTCAACAAGGCATAATACATGTAATTGTAAGGAAAACAAAAATTCCTTCTTATTTCTCCTTCAAGATTTTTTTTAAAAATGAAAAATAAATTAGTGAAGAAAAATAAACCATCATAATCACAACGTTACATCTGATCTATTATGATATATTTCCGATCATTGAAATTTGATCTACACATTTCCCTTTTATTTGTTTTATTCTTGACCTTTCAATGTATTGTCCTTAATAAAAATTTTCAACTTATGTCGCCCGTAGCCCAAAATATATTTGACCTAGAGTTATTAAACTTTATAGAAATGTTGGTCAGCATATGCAGTTGTGCAACTGGGTGATTTCTTGAAGTTGTAGAGTTCGAACATGTGTAATTGTGCTTGTGAATTTATTCGTTATTTGTAAAGTTATTGTCCTTGACTTAGTTCAAATTTCTGTCGCACGTAGCCAAAAATTATTTGACCTAGAGTCAAAGAGCTGTACCGAGTTGTTGGCCAGCATGTATAGTTGTGCATCTCGGGTTTTGCTTGTTTTCTTTTAAGCTTCTTTAGGATATAAAATTGAGATGATTTGAAATTCTTAATATTGGGAAAATCGGATTTCGTTTTTATCCCCAAACCATTAAAGGAGAGTCATGTAGAAGTTCTTTTGTCTGTCCATTTGTTCTGCTGTGTGTGTGTGTCAGTAAACTGACATTGGAGTGTGGGACTTCCGTGTCCTAAGGACAAAATTCTAGTGAAATGTTTCTTTTGACATTTGTGTGCATGTCTTGCCACCATTAAAGAGACCATTCAGACTATGTTATGAGTAAAAGAAATTTGATCTTGCTTGTGACATTGCTATCTGATTGAACATTGGAAAATAAGAAGATGACAGATCAACATAAAAAGATATCATTTGAAAATATCATTCCATGCTCTTCCTATGAAGAAAATAATGACTTTAAAGTGGACCGCACAAATATCATCTTAATGTAGATGTTGCAAGAAGACGTAGCTTTGATGATTGGTATAGATTCTCTGACGAGTTCGCTGACGAATTCTCATAATTTCTATAATGAAGTCGCAACATAAAAATAGTAGAAAAAAAGTATAAACAGTGGCGCGGCAAATTGAAACAGATGTTGATCAACCTAATTAGTTTGGTGAAAAAAATGAACAATGGAACAACCAAAATTTATGCTTTAATTAAATAATAACGAAAGGTAAATTGGAATACATTTTGAAAACCATTCAGTCGTAACTATTTATGATAAATTTTGTTTTACAGGTCAATGCAAGTTTGAGAGAATTAAAAGACAAATATCTAGAAGATGACTTGGATATAATGGATATGAGTGGCAAAAGTAAAAAAAAAATAAAAGGTATGTATTTCCATTTTAGTCAAACTTAAAAGTTTAATGCACCGACTCATCCAATGTATAATACAGATCTGAATTGACAAATTATACTTAAAGTTATAAAGGGCGCTGAACAAACCATCGTTCAAACACCATTGGAGATTTCCCTTGTTTAAACAAAGAAGGCCAGAAGCTCAGTATATTTCACTGTATATTTCACTCGCCGTTCTTTCCTCACTCCGTATTTGCAAACCGTCATATTGAAGGGACTATTTTGTTTAAAAAAAATCGGAATAATAAAATTTTGTTGGAGGTTTTCATCTTAAACTTATTTACGAGAGGTGTTCAATTTATTATAAAACAGTTTTAAAACCTACCTAATTATTTACTTGCATGTGGTAATGCAACTGGGACCCATGGTAATCATTCTACAACCTTTTTGGCCAGCTTTCTAAAGTCCGGTTTATGCACGACTACTAAAGTTTGCTCCATTCTTCTTTGATAATCTTTTTCAGACCGGAAATGGTAAAGATCTATCTTGCGTTTCTGTAGCCTGCGTTTCAGTATACCCCGGATGCCAAAGTCCATGGGAGCTGTATCTGGGATTTGGCATCCATTCTGCCCTTTGCGTTTGTTGAGAAAGTTTGGTATGACTAGAGGCCGAGTCTTAACGGAAAACCATATCATTTTCTACGAGAAATGGGCATGTAATTTTTTTTTCATTGGGTTTTAAACCCTTAAAAAATTAAAATTGAGATTTTTGCCCTAACTTAACCCGGCCCAAAAGCATAACCCAGAAATGCATTTTGTTTTAAAAACTTCATCTTGCTAAGGCTTGTCTCATTTGTTCGAACGTAGAAAACACGAAGTCTACCGTAACTACCACCAATATAAAACATAGCTTCATCTGTGATGACAACCTTTTTCCATTTTCCACAGGTAATTAAGACGGAGATATAGACGCCATGATCGAACAAGTGGTTTCAAAATCTTTGCCTCACTAAGACTTTGAGCACGGCACTTTTTCCTTTCTGCTTTTAGAATGTTTTCTATTACTCTGTTGACACCCCACACTTAGCTGCCATTTCTCTTTGTGTGGGAGGATTCACCAATGTAATCATATTACGGATGTTATGTACGACATCAGCAGTAGTTTCATAAGTCCTCTCATTGTGACGGCAGAGATAGGGATGGCGATAGAAATATCATACTCAGATTCTCCTTCATTGGGAACTGTTTTTATATTTGTCTATGATACAAAAGAAAAAGAACAACAAAACACTCGGCAATTTAATTTATACTCGGGGCTACGCCCCATCGTACAAATCAGATAGCCTCGTGTTTCAATGCTCTTCCTATTACTCGGACAATATAAAAAAGAAATAAAATAAACAAAAAAAAACTTTTTGAACTTTTAAAAAAATTGTTATCCTCAAAATGTGTGTGCAAACGGTAGATTTAACGACATTGTTTTTCAATCGACTGAGAAAGCCTTAAAACATTGCTATTAGAAACATATTCAACCACCAAAAATATAGTTCAAAGATTGTTTGTCTTGACCTGATAGGATGGAAATAGATCTTTATTTTGAGTGCTCTGTGTTATATGGAGTTCAGATGCGAAGTAATATAATTACAAAGGCGGTATATCTGATCTCAAAATCAAGATCTTTTTCCTAAAAAAATCTTTGTGAAAGTGTCATTATGCATTTTTTTCGCTGTAAAGTTATTCTGAATTAGTAATGGTATTTTTCTACAGATTGACTTTTTATTTGTATCAATAATAGTATTGATAAACAAAAAAATTGATATGAAATATGAAAAAACTAAATTATTTAAAGACTGCTATACTCGTTTTAAAAATTGAAACACTTTTTGATATATTCCGAACGAGATATTTATAAATAATATCCGTGGGTCACGTGGATTATTGATTTTTTGCGTTTCATATATGAAATTTTTGAAAAACAATCATTGCAAAATGTCAAATTATTTTTGAGTTTACATTTGGACTCACCATTTACACTTACACATAATATCACTTTAAGTGTACATTTTGCTGAAGAGACTGATTCAAAGTTCTTAATATTTAATAACAATTACAAGAGTATTTGATATCAAAACGTTACTGGATGTCAAATAACATTGTTAGATATTTACAGAAGCACGTGCAAACTGCATGTTTCAAATGTTATATATTTTGTTTCAACTCTTATTAAATTGTAAATTGATTGGCGTTTTTCTTATGACAACAGATGAACACCATAGAGAAATGATACAAATTCAGGGAGAATTTAAAAGAAAACATTCGGAAGGGGAACAGAAATACAAGGCCTTGAATGATGAACTTAAACTACAGCGTGATTTTAATGAACAAAGGAATAAAACAATGTCAAAAAACATAGAAAAAGGGCAAAAGGATCATGCAAAACTGAAAGAAGAAATGCTAAAAGAACAGGACCGAGTGGAGATTTTAATGTCGTTATTAAATGTAGAAGTTACTGCCAATGAACCTACAATTCAAAAAAGTATTGCACGTGGAGCAGCTAGTCTTTTGCCAGTTATTGGACCTGCAATTTATGATGCAATTGAAAGAAGAAGCTATCAGAAAAGGAAAGAGGAACTAGAAGGCATACGTTTTATGATGTAAATATTGTTTATCTCATATCATTGACGCTTTTGCGACTCCGTAAAAATTATATTGCACGAATGTGCATATATTTTGAAGTGACATAATTTGCATAATACAAGGTGTATCTGTAAAGTTCCCATTGCGATTGTTGATTTGGAAAAAATGTAGATAGATTTCAAAAAGAAAACAAACCGTTCAATTTCCTTCCATATTTCTATTAATATGCGCAATTGTACCCAATGTACAAAATTATAAAACAATGTAAATATACATCACGGTCGCATTGGCCCGCGTTACATCGTCATTCTGCTGCAATCCCCTCGAAACTCGGAATCTTGTTTTCATTTGCTGATCCGTTAACAGTTTCGGTACCCATCTAGCGCACACTTTGGTCATTGACATATATTTAGTTATTATCGTGTGAATTGTTGTACTTTTTCTCGCACTGACATACAACGGTCGCCATCAAGCATTTCCTCAATCTCGTCACAAGAGACGCTCGGTCTTCCTGACTGATCATCAGCTGTAGACGGCGGCCCTCTTTGAATCTTTTATACCCTTCATACACGACTGTACGCGAAAATGTCTTAATACTTTGACAGTACTGAGTAATAAATAACTCGCTGTTTTTTGTTTTTTTGTTTTTTTTTATTATATATAATACTTCCATACAAAATACTTAATCACTACAGCCCTACTTATTGCCAAAAAATGCAACAGAAATATGGTTAAGGTAATAGGCCAATGAATAACATTTTGAAACCATGAGCTTTTGAGAAATAAAATTAAATACATTTATGGACCATAATGGGCCTTTAAATACAATTCAAATATAACTTAAGAAAATTTTGTCTAATACATACTATTATGTACAAAATGCTTTCACATTAATATTTTTTCTCAAAGATCACCTTTAAAATATTGTTTTCATATAAAAAGGAACAGAACAACAGTGTCCTACAATGTAATTGTTAAAACTTATGTTATCATCAAGATATTGATTAATGCGACACATAGCAAGGTAAATAAGTGTATCATCGGATATCTATACAATAATAATGATGATGATAATAATGATGATGATGATTATACATGTGCATAACAAATAATAGAACAGTTTGAATCGTGTCCATATTCTTTTTAGTTTTAACATCGTTTATAATCTTAATATGTATTTCTCTACTTCAGCAATGAATGTAAAAAACATGGAGATGGCGATTCATTGGACTTTAGTCAGCTTCTACGAAAAAAAAGTGAAAAAGAAGCGTCAGCTTACACTGAATAAAAAGTAAAGAACATATAAGAATGCAAATTCAGACAAATTTGACTTCATTTTTTAATTCTGTGAAATTATGTGGGTGTATATTCATTCACCTTACGATTAGCCTTTATTTTGTCAGAATGAACTTCAAAAATAATACTAACGAAACAAGTTTGCGTCTTTAAGAAGAAAATATTTTTGGATAATTTTGCATAAACGACACAATGAATGGTTATAAATTACAATTATTTAACAAAATAGAATGTATTATATATATTGAATATAGTATCATAATGAAAGTTTGTTTAACACTTCATTTTCTAAATGCTTTAAATGATTATATGCCGGAGAAATGGACTTTTAACCCTCGGCGCATAAGGGGTAATTTATGTTATGTCATCAAACTAAATTTAAAATAAATGATATACACATGTATATATATTAAAAGTAGTATCAAAATAAAAGTTTCTAATAAAATTCAATAAGTACATTTTCGGTTAATGTTTTGGTAAGTATATGGAAACATGTCCTATACTTTTTCCAAAACGGGCATAAAGTTTGTTAATTAAACAATTTTAAGTCCCATATTTACATTAAAAATGTTTATAACATTTGATTGGAATTAACAGTATATAAAGATGCATCCCTACAGCCATGCACAATATTTTAAGGAAAATCTGGAGTAAAGTTTGTGCCATTTGTGCCCAAAAAATCTCCGTTGCGTTATTTAGTCATACCTGTTCAAATGTTTAAGGAGCAGCACACTTTCGGTACACGGTCCACTCGGTCATATAATAGTGCATGGTGATATTGTACCTGTAATGTTCACTGTTACTTTTTTATCGATTTATACAATATAAAAGATTAAAACAGAATGAAACATCCACGTAGCGCGAAGTAATGTAAATGATATTTTCCGATTTTTCTATATACCGATTTGTTCACTTCGATGTTGATTTTTCGTTTAAGCTAAGTCGTATTTTGAAACGGAGCATGCGCAAACAATTTTTGTTGAGTGCTCCTAATGATTGGCGACGCCGGTGAGCGGCGTCGTCTATTATGGAATGCTTTTTATTTTTGCCTATGGAAGGAGCTGTTATTATTAGCATTTAATTTCAAGTTGTGTTAATTAGTTTTATTTTGATTCGTAAAAATCAAGTAAACAAATGTGTTGTTATATTTGTATTTAATAACTTTATGTAAAAAGCATGTGCATTGTGATATTATTTTCACGAAATTGCAGGCTAAGTTTAACAGCTTGTCCCTTAGTTTTATTGGCAATACTAAAACCCGGATTTCGAATATCGTTGTGGTCTAGATTGAGGCCGTATCAGTTCATTCATTCATTTATACATTTTCATAATTTTCCTACAAGAAGAAAGTTCACCTGCAATTGAGTATAAGGATAGGTAATGGAACTGTTGTAAACGATTATCCTATTGATTTTATCCTTATTACATTTATCTGTTGCGCAGAATGGTTGTTTTTACAAAGTGTACCAGTATCCGGATGTTGAAAGCTATCCGATTTTCTGCAATTACTGCTGTCACATGGCCATCTATTTTTTATGAATACTTTACCATTAATTTGCATAGCTTAATAAAACTGAGCATGCAGCATTTCATAATTTTGCTGTTTAGGGTGTTCTTTTGGGTTTCAGGTTTTCTTTATTTTAAGGGGAAGTAACTCATGTTTACTAAATTATTTGTTGTTTTCTGTCTATCTTAGGTATTACTTATAATACTATTTTTGTTGTATATAATTCACCAGTTGTAAGGTCATCAAAAGCATGTTAATGTTAATGTTAGGATTTCATATTTATTTAATATAAACTGGGAATTATTAATGTTATGAATATGTGCATACATGTATATCTTAGACTGTAGTATATTGATATGTTGAGACTTATAATTTTAATGCATTTAAAGAGATACAGTTATGTCATTATTATTAAAGGGATGAGACTTTCATTTAAAGTTATAAATGATAAAACATGTATTGATTGAAAATGTCCTTAAACTTGGATCAAGCAATATAATTAATAAAGTCTCAAAAAATCATATTCTGAATAGTTATTCTATTTTTTTTTCTAACATGTGCATAGTTTGAAAAGGACAGCTTCTTTCTTATCTATTTGTAATGAAGGGACACCGGTCTCAACCTCCAGGTCTCCTGAGTCAACCCGACAACAGACTGTACATAGAGTAGATTGTTACTTGCCCTTGAATAAATTTGTGCACTAAATTTCACAGTATATAAACGATTTGAACCCCAACCGGATCTTGTGAGAAGATGTCAGTGTCAGCCATTTGCTGACGCTTGACCTATTTAATATATTGGTATTTATATTGATACTTATGGACGTTAGGTTAGTAAATCTTTATTTATATCGTAGAAGAGAAACTTTATTAAACGTATTAGTAATGCATAATATAAATGTTAGCATTAAAGCTATAAAATAATCGAAACTCATGAACTGCTTTCAGGTGATCAACAATGAACACGAACAAAAATCCGTCTTATTTAAGGTATATTTAGTTAAACATTAAATTGTGATTTCGAACTACTAAAATAATCAATAACAAACGATAATTTAGTCATCTGCAAACAATATTGCTGTATTTTGAACATTAAATTAAGAGTTTAACCAAGAAGGTCAATTCCGTAAACTGAACGTTACTTGCTGGTGATTGTGAACCCTACTTGTGAGTTTACGAATTTTATCTGTACCCTGACTTGTGAGTATTTTTTAAAGATTTAATGGAGAGAACATTTATCATTTAACGTATTTATTTGTTTATTGACAGGCGAAATGGAAAAATTCAGTTGTCTTCATTGTCCCCTTCCTCTTCCAAAAAAAATTCGGAAACACTATTGTTCACAATTTTAACATAAGAACAAAAACTTAAAATAACAATTTCTCAGTTTGACAACAGAAACATTAAAATCATACTCCAAAGACTTTAGAATTATTCCAAAGAACTGAAAAAAGGACTTTAAAAGCAAATGATATTACAAAAACAGTAAAAGTTTCAAGACAAAGAGGACTTGAAAAATAATCTCCAGTCAAGAAATGTCAAAAGATCAAAACGCCTGTTAAAGATGTTCACACATCGACAAAAGATACGTTTTAGTACAGATGACGAAGAGTTTAAGTTTAAACTTGGTGTCAACTTATTCCACAGATCCCACATTTAAGTTGTGTTTTCAGGGGAGTGTTTGTTACACTAAAGCTACTGTCAAGACTCTCAACTACAATTAAATGATTGTCTTAGACACTGGCAAGACTGTAAACTATTTAAAAATAAGTGGAAATAAACTTGCAAGAGTGAAAACTACCTTTTAGACAATTAAAAATATGCAGGAAACTCCTTAAAATAATTTATTAAGAGTGATCCTAGTCGCGCATGTCAGAAATAGAAATTCAAGGCATTTATGAGAATATAAAACCGTGTTTTAAAAAGCATAATGAAATCAATGGTAGGTGTTAAGCTTTCAACATGTTGAAATAAGTAATCTGTCAAAAAAATCCTGTGATGGTCTTTCGAGGAGGATGGATTGATATACGGTCACTTAAAAAATAATTAACTTAATAGTAGAAACATTTACATGTATAGTACTTATGTTATATCTTAGCTTTGTATCTTTTCAAAGAAAAATGAATGGTAAATGAATAAAAGATTTGTTGGTTGATCATTCCTGTCAAGAAATAATTTTCTTTCTAATTCGTATTACCAGCTACTTCATGCTGATATTTCCATGGAAAGTGAAAACATGAGGAAGGTCCATTCATGTGCACTATTATAGTTACTTATATAGAACTAAAAGATGTGTCATGCTCTTGTGACATAATAACTTCATATTTTACAAGATATAATTTGGAACATAAGACAAAAAACAATAAAAATCATCAAAAGTGACTCGCAAATTATGGTTCAGTGAAAACACAAGTAGGGTACAGATCATTGAAATTGTTTTAGCAAGACGGGTACAGTTATCAGAATGTTCGCCTCTATTATTTACTATGTTTTTAACAATATTCAAAGATATCCAAGTGTCTGTGCGGTAAGACGAGGTAAGACAATAAAGTTAAGATTCAGATACGAGTTATAGTGAAATTAAAACAAATTTAAGCATAAATTTGCTTGTGTAATCGGCGTGTGTTGACATAAACAAAACACGAAGCGAAGAGCGCAACGCATTATGCGCATAAATTTGAAGAAGCTGGTTATAGATGTATCTATAAGCAAAGAAAAATATTTCTTAATATGATTCAAATGTTTACATACCGTCACAGATTAAATGCAAGCCGTCTTAAAAAGTTTTATTGGTCACCCCGCCTGTTTGTACTGAACTGATGTTGAGATCTTCTCACAAGATCCGGTTGGGGTACAAATCGTTTATATACTGTGAATTTATAGTGGGTAATTTGTGCCACATGAAAACCAACATAGTACAAAAAGTAACCGGGCGCCAGATGAAAACATGAAAATACAATTTACCACAAAGTGGTTTGTTTGTTGCATTTTCATGTTTTTGCCCGGTGCCCTTGATGCAAAATACAAATCAGCCTTCACAAAATTTCTTATGTTGGTCACAGGTTTGAGTTCTGGTCAAGCTCAAAGTTTTTCTCAATCTCAATATAAGCATGAGTTCAATTTCCTATGCTCTGTAACATAAGAAATTCACGGACACAAATCGATATAGTGGGGAAATATGTTGTGGTTTAGAACTGTTTCATTATTAAAGAGAAAATGTGTAGCCGGCCGGATAGCTCAGTTGGTCTTATGAAAGTCATGGCTTCAAGTCATGGTCAGGCAGTTTCAGTCAGGGTTAAGAAGTGGTTTTTTAACTGACACATGTTTGATTCATTTAACAGATTGCATTATTTGAAATGGGCAAAGGCAGTATTGCATGATACTTTTAGATCTACAAAAGGCATTTGATACAGTTGAACACACTATACTGCACATGAAGAAGTTGTTTTTCTTCTTCTTCATGAAACTTCAAGCATCTGCCATATATAATGACATTCTTACATGGTTTAAGTCTTATCTCTGATAGACCGCAGCTGGTGGATGTGGCTGGTACTCATTCTACTACTGCTCTGAGTACCTATGGTGTCCCCCTGATGTTCATTTAAGGTCCTCTTTTATGTCTAATATATGTCAATGACATGTCTTCAACCCTAAGCAATAAGCTTTTATTATAATGCACAGGCACGAGTATCAGACCTGGGAAGAAAAAATATGGCCAGATTGATAAAAAAACCTGTGTTCATCTTAAAAGTGTCAACAACCAAAATAAAATGTAAATAATGACCCCCTTTAAAAATATACTTTAAGTTGATAGTATATTTTTAAAGGGGTTCATTATTTACATTTTTTTTTCTGGTTTTTATAAACACAGTTTTTTATCAATCTGGTCATCTGGTCATATTTTTTCCCCAGGTCCGATACTCGTGCCTGTGATTATGCTGATGACTCAGCATGAGTCTTATAAGATTGCTTAATTGACTATAAATTGTCTTTGCATCTTGGCAAGACAGAGTCTATTCTGTTTTGGTTTAAGTTTCAACTTAAACTGGCCCAAGCCTCCAGGTCACATGTAATGGTACTGCTATAAAGTACACATCTTTTGTTAAGTATTTAGGTGCAAATCTGGATCAAATTCTTTTGGCGTCGCCCTTTGATGCTTTGCATCAATGCTTTTCTTGTTTTACGCTTTAAATGACATTCGTTCACTACAATCAGATAATCAAAAATGAATGCCGCCAGCAATCAGTCTGAACACCGTGGAGAGGGATGATGACCTCTCCAATAATATATTGTAAGCTGGCATCTGCTACAAATATGTTCCATCATGAAATTCATGATACTTGAATTATGATTGATACTGGTCTTATTGTTGATTCCTCTATTATTTTGTATTTAGATTATTTATCAGATGTTTATAATATGATTGGTTTAGTACTCGATTATTTACATTTTAAGTCAAAATATTTCTATGTGTGAGCACAATCATGTACATACATTTCTAAGATGTTTCATCCCAATGTTATTTTCATATTGACAATAGTTTTACACAATTCGAAATTTCTCACGCATCTCCTCTACTTTTTCCATTTACAAATTCATATTTATTCAAACAATTCTTAATATAAACCAATTTAATTTTATTGGTTGCTGACTCACATTAGAGAAATATTTGCAGATTTTACATGTTAACTGAATGATATCATAGTATTTTAAAGAGACTAGCAACTTTCATGCAAATATTGAGCATATCTTCAATGATTTTAGTATGTATTGAATTGTTTAAATATTTAAAAGTTTTCATCTTTTATGCATTTCAGAGTCTGGTAAATAGTTAAAAGGTCATTTTTCTTTGAGTAATGTCTAAGTTATATTTATGCTTTGAATAGTGTTAAAAAGATATAAAAAAGTTTAGTTTTGTTAAGTTTGTTTCTAGTTTTGTTTTAGTTTTGTTGAGGGTCTTATTTGTATCTAATTTTATCAATACTTTGGCGATTTAAAGTCTTAATTTAAGCTAAAACTTTATAACGACCCTTTCATACGTTTATCTTCAAAGTTCTCTTAATCAGAATCAATAACATGTGCAAATGATATTGAATAAGATATGTATGTGTACGTTCATTTAATAGAGAAACAATTCTTGTTTTCTATGGATGATGTGATGTTATGTGATGAATTATAAATTAAAAAAAATGATGGTGATGGGGATATTGATATTGAGCGCATATACATGCAGTGGTGTGAAAGGGTTTATATATCATGTTTATGATAGTGTGTATGCTGGTGCCGGTGATGATTGTGTTGATTTGATAGTATCTATATAATAATGAACATAATGTTAATGCTTGATGTTATTAGAAATTATAATGCCTTTTAATATATTCCAGTGAATATATTGAAAATATATATTGCTTTGCAAAGCATAATGTTAATGCTTATCAATATATCTTTTGTGTGTAATTGTTTGAAATTATTTGCTGTTTAAAAAAAATACATGTATGTCTGTTTTGGTATATAGCTTTATGGAAAGAATCATCGCTCGTATTACATCAATGTAGATCTTAGTTGTAGTTAAAACATTTTATCTCTCAAATTGCAAAAATCCCGACATAACGTTTTTGAGCGTATTTCATTGTATACACTACACTTTTCATCTTTATTATAAATGCAAATCGACGTCATACTTTACACTATCCATAATATTATCT